ACTAGATGAACGATATGCAAGGGGATTATTGAGAAGCGTACCAAAGCATGCGACGCATTCCTATCAAAAAGAAACCGCAAGCCCCGACTCATCCCCTCCTGTCTATTGACGAGAAGATCCATACCCAGCGCAACAAAAAACGTCCCAGCGGACGCAGAACCGAAAAGCTAAGCACCCTTCATCAGCATCACATCTTACTCCATAACAAACGAAACACAGAACACTCACAACCCCGCACCTCTTCGTCCTCTCCACCACCATCGCCACTCCGCCCAGCGCCCCCATCACCGCCACCACGATCCAATTTACCCAAAACATGTACAGGCTCGAGACGAGCAGCCCCGGCCGCAGGATGTCCGCGCGCACGCCGATCGCGAGACCGCCTGTGATACCAAGGAGTATTAGGCCAGCGACACGCCCGATCTCAAAGAGGCCGAAAGTGAATCCGAGGAGGAAGAAGCCTATGACGATGCAGGTGAGGAAGGCGTCAGGGACGCCGATCGAGTTAAGGTTGTTCGTTAGGGCTGCCCAGGCTGTATCCATTTTAAGAGAAGCAGTGAGTTTCGATACATTAAAGGCGCAAGGACTAGGACGCACAGCACACGCCCAAACCCAAACCCACCCCAACGCCCCTCGTGACCCTCCAACACCGGATACCCGCAAGCGCCATCGGGAGGCCGACGATGAACGAGAAAGCGACCCAGATGATCGCGGGGGCGTCGAACCCCGTGCCCCCGCCGTCTGTTGCGGTGCCCTGCGGGATGGGCTGATGTGTGCTGGGGTTGAGGATTTGAGGAGGGCCTGAGGAGGAGGCGTTGGTGATGATAAAGGCGCGCGAGGTAAGCGTTTGGGGATGGGGATGAGCGGGTGAATGAAGGTGGGGTTGGAGGGCGAAGGTGGTGCGGTGTGGAAGGGCCAGCACGAGAGGAACCTGAAGTAGAAAAGCGAAGAGAATAATGTGAATAGGAAGGGTAAACCACTGAGGGGCGTGGCGGCGAACTAGAGCCACCATTGAACAATGAAAAGAAGGTGAGTAAAAAGAACGTGGAGGTGAAGAGCCGAACGGGGCGGCGCGCGAAGCCAGAGGGGAAGGGGGGAAGAGGAGGACGCGTCGAAGGGGAAGGGAAATGTGAGTAAGAAAGAAAAGGAGAGAGAATAATGAAGACTAAGTATACAAGGGCATGGGCATGGGCGTACAATTAGATCGTCACTGTTCCTTGTTTATGCCAACTCAGGAACAGGTTGGGGTGGCAACGTTGGGAACAAGACAGCGATATCATCGATCCGATAAGTGTGCTCAGCGACGCTAGTGGAGTCGTTGATGCTGGGCTCGATGCTCGATCGCCAACATGTCAAGGAATTTGGAATCGCCGTCGCTGGGGCCTCCAAAGAACGAGGGATGTGAGAAAGAGGGTCGAATGATGTGTGAAGCGGGTGGCGCCCGTTTGATCAGACCATTGTGAGCGGACAAAACGTTCAATAGGGCTTAACCGAAGACAAAAAGGAGTATTTCTTTTTGGAAGATCCCTATCAGGGTCTCGCAAAGCAATGGACTTGTTCAATTCGAACTTGCAAATCTAATGAGCACATATCGTCATAATCATTGCCGCAGATCTTGTTAGGTACATCGACTCTTGAGGCATATCTTGCAAATAAGTAGTGTATAGATGAACGTCGACGTTTGAAGCATCTCCCGGAGCCGAATCGAGGGGTCGAAATCCAAGTCATCCTACCCGAAATCCTGCAATCGTAAGAACGTTAGCATACGCCCTCGGTAATAAGAAAATAGTTAAAAAGAAAGAGCGCTCAGTGCTGCAAGCGCAGACTTATTTATGATCTCCTATCTCCACGCCCCAGAACACAACCAAGGCTCCCGGACCCCTCCGATTAAGAACCCCGGACCAGCGATATATGCGCGTAACCACACGCCACGAGCAGTCTCCTCTAGCTCGGACGCTTATAGCGGGCACTCCACGAATGAAGTAATAATTTCCGTTCGAGAATTATAAACCACATCTAGAGACCACCCACGACAGAGTGACTTTGCGCTATCATGCGCGATTCTGCGAGGGCTCGGCTAGATGAACGCAGGGGACGTGGTCCCGATATGCGACTCTGCCTTTGCTGCCAGGCCGTGGGTCTCGAGACCGATGGCAGCCTATATGTTTAGAGTCTGGAAATGTTGGTCCGGCCTTACGATACGCCACGAAGAGCTCGGGATGGCATATAGAGAATACAGACACGTTTGGGTTCGGGGTGGAGAGGGGGGAGGCAGTGGTGGTTCTGGATTGCTGGAGTCGACCCTTTTACTAGGACATCTCTGCGCGAACAAGAAAGACGACAAAGGAAGGAAATAGACTTGCCTTGGGGAGGGAGTGAATGGTTCGCAGCAAGGGCAAGAAGGGCAAGGGGGCGTGGGTATTATTGCTGAGTCATACATTCCTCCGCTACACGTCGATTTGGAGTGGCTGGTGCACATTTGCCTCCACGTTTCCACCGCGCACTCCATCCTCCTCGCCACCATGGCCATGAACATTTTCCGGTTGCTGGGTGCGTACAACCGCCCAATGTCGTTCCCCGCCAATGCTCACCCCAACATGCGCAGGCGACTTGTCGCATTTGGCGTCCATTTTGATTCTCTTGCACAAAATACAAACATCACGCTCATGTCGAGGTTTGTTGCGTCCCTTTCCCCGGGCGAGGGGGCGCATTGCTCGGCCGCCATGGGGCATTTGGAGTGTCCGTCGCTAATCGTCTGCAGGCATTTCGTTCAAGACACAGGCACTTTACGTGGCCGTCTTCTTGACGCGCTATCTCGACCTTTTCTTCCGCTACATTTCCCTCTACAACTCCGTAATGAAACTATTCTTCATCGCCAGCAGCTGCTACATCCTATACCTCATGCGCTACCGCTTCCGGTCAGTCGCCTTGTCCAGTCTTGCGACACCTATTCTAACCTTGACTGCAGACCAACACATGACCCCTCCATCGACACCTTCCGCGTAGAGTACCTTGTCGGCCCGTGCCTCATCCTCGGCCTCATATTCAACTACGGCTTCAACTTCACAGAGATCTCTTGGTCCTTCTCCATCTTCCTCGAGTCCGTCGCCATACTGCCGCAGCTCTTCATGCTCCAGCGCACCGGCGAGGCAGAGACCATCACCACACATTACCTCGCCGCGCTGGGCGTCTACCGTGCGCTGTATATCCCTAACTGGATATATCGGTACGTACCTATGTTTTCATTTGTGTTTCATGCTCGTCTGACGCGCTCCACCGCCACACAGGTACTTCACGGAGAACGGCACTGTAGATCCTATCGCTGTGACGGCCGGCATTGTTCAGACAGGTCTATACATCGACTTTTTCTATGTCTACTTTACCAAGTGCGTTTACTCTCTCTCCCGTTCGCTATGTGACTGACTGACACATGTGCACAGAGTACTTCAGGGAGAAAAGTTCGAGCTTCCCGCATAATTTTACGACTTGTGTATGACTGCGTGATGTAATATGCCAGGAGTTGTACAAGAACTTGAAGATCGTAGAAAATGTATAGGGTAGAGCGTTCAGGCTATGGTCTTCATAATTCTATGCTGCTCTTGACCGACCCATTTTGTGCTTGGTTTACGTCCAGTATTTGGGAAC